GGAAAGAGAGACTGGAAAGAGTCAGAGGTGGTCTAAGACTTTCTTCTGATCCCCTCCATATACTTGTTACACTCACTGGCTGATATGCTGTAGACCAAATTCAGAGACAGAGCAGGTTAAGTCTAAGGAGCTGGTCTCTAAACAGAACTGTTCCTGCAGGACTCTAACTGTGGAATAGATATTCAAAGTGGATTTCGCTAAACAGGAACAGATGTGCTTCCAAAATCTCTGTCCTTCCCTTCACTTAAAATGCTACAAGCAAGAGCCAGGGCCCTTTCTTTTTCATACATCTTATTTTTCATTGGCTCTGTGACCCCAAAAAAGCAGCCCCCAGCTGCAGGCCCTGGCCATACATACCATCTGCCATGGGATTTCCTAAGAACTTGGAGCCCTCCTCTGAACTCCTCTCGCCTCCTTCTTCATCTGCCTGCTCTTCTTCCACTTTATTTTCGTTCTCTGAGCGATAAACTATTATGGACTCTGGGCGGGGCTCCTTCTTCTTCTTTTTCCTTCTGTCCATGGTGGCCTCTCCATCAAAGGTGACTGCGGTAGCCACGGCTCTCCGCAGGGAGCCTCGGTGAGGGCTGTGTGTTCCACCCTTCTCTCTCTGCACGGCTTCCTCCATCTCACTGCTGCTTTGAAGCGTCTCACTGGGCATCTTTTAATGTGGGTTTTCTACCTATCAGCTCCTGAAATTACGAGCCATGGATCAGGCAGCAATCAGGGATGCTCTGCTTTATGAAGTCATCTTAGTCACAGCATCCAACAGATGCAACGCATTCTGAACCTACATTAAGAGAGGAGACAGGCACACAAAACAGTGTCCCATTTATTCCATGTATAAAAATCTGCAAACGTTTTCCTTGGAAGATACACTTCTACCCAAACTGAAAGCACAATTGCCTTAAGTATGATTAAAACTGGTTTAAAAGAATCCATCTTACTGATCTTAAATTTAGTTACACTAATGCATATTTTAGAATATGAACCAGACCTAGGTTTATGTGCCAGCTTTAAAATGAGACATAGGAGTTGGCAGAATGGGAATGGGTGTTAAAATTTCATATGAACAAACATGGCTTGTCAGGAGATTTTAGCATTCTTCAGCAATGCTGGGAACAACCAAAACCGAGCGGTCTGGGCAGGAGAGTCCCGGAGAGCCAAACAGTGAAACTGACAAATAACGTGAAATTGACTAGCCTAGGGACAAGTCTCGATTGGAGACAATGGCACAGTGGAACTTCACAGCCACGCTGGAGCCAGTTTCTTTCATTTACTTCAGACAATGCTGAGATTTATCGTCTGAGGCCAGGCAAATGCAAACAGCCCCTGAACGATGCAATAAGTGATGAAAAGTAAAACTGATTCTAAAAAAACCTCTCCACTCTAGCAACATGCACTGCTACTAGTAATAACCATGAGGATTTTTTTCCTTTAAAGTACAAGCTAAAATCAAAAGGACTATATTGAAAATAAAAAATCCCAAAGAAATATTTTGGTTATGAGAAAAAAAAACGTGACTGCTCCAAATCACATCAAACTCAGGGCCTGATTTTCTCTTCCTTATGCAAAAGTACCATTAATATCAAAAGTGACAGTAATGGGAGGCTTGCCTGAGTAAAGCATGTAGGAATAGACCAGAATAGGGTGCATCCAGGTGGATAATCCATGCGTCCATCCTACATCCACAGGATGAATGTGATTCTCAGACTAGACATGCTACAGGAAATGAAAAAACTGATCATGCCAATACTCTCTCACTGCTACTTTAATGAGGATTAAAACACACTGCCTATGTGTTAGCAGCCCTGCAGCTCTAGGCTGATCGTTTAAATGTTTAAAAGACCATGTATAACTAAGAATTAAGGTCCCATATAGTATCTGAAGAATCCCTTCAACAGAAAATTATAAGACGTTTGTCTCGTATGACCTTCGGTCCACTCCATGCTACAGAAAATTGTTTTATTTGAACCAATGCTGGAAAAAAAAATGGACATGTTTAGATTCAGCTGTCTGGTCTCAAATGCTTCCCCAATGAAAGCAGAAACCTTTGAAATAAACCAACACAATATCATACACCTGGATCCACCAACAGCCCCAAACAGTAGATCCAACTTCCCACTGTCACTTCAACAGGGTGTTCATTTTGATCATTTATCATGGTTCAAAAAGCAAAATAGTTTCCTCCTTCACTGCTGATCAAAGCACTCAAGAAAGACGAAGGACAGTTATCAAGGATATCTCAGTGTGGCATCTCAACAGGGTCTGGCTTGGTTTGTGGCTAGTGTTTAGACTAGTTATTGGAATCATTTTATCTTTTTTTTATTCTCCTCTACCCATAAATAGAGGGAAAGACAATAAAAGGCTGCTGCCCCATACACCTCCCCAGGGGAAGCCTGTGGATGTCCCATATCAAGGCATTAAAAATACAATGCAGCTCAGAAAAGAGCAGCAATTCCTTCCTAGGGACAGTGCCTCTTTGCATTGTCAAGTGTCTGAATTACATGCAGGACTAGTATGTTTGGAGTCAGTGCACAGATAACTAACAGTCCACATACTTAAACATAAAAGAGTAATGGACTATCCACAAATTTTTAAAAAATGTGCATGTACCACAGCACCCCCAGGGAAATCTGATGCTTATGTATCAACTCTCCTTCCTTTTAGCTCAACACCAAATTATCCATCCACTACAAAGAGAACAAGAGGCTCCTAACATATAAACTTGGGCAGTACTCTAGAGACCTGGTCTCTATCAATAGGAACTTGATTCAATCTGTGGAGGGCAAGTGGCCATACAGAAAACTCACTCCAATTGCTGCTATTCTTCAGAAGCTTGCCCAGCACACACAAATATGCTCTAACGCTTTAATATTCAAAATGTATATAATGTGGTGCACACGAAAGACAGTGCAGAAATAGCAGCTCATTCAACTTAATACCCCTGTGAGATATGGTAGAAAATATTCTCTTTCTAGATAAAAGGAAACTCATTCACCTAGGACCTCTTAGAGCTCAGATGCCATAATGGTGGGCAATTGTCTATAATCTGGGACCAACAGACAGAAGCCGGGTTCGGATTAGACTCCGAGCGCTCCCAATTCTAACCCAACCTTCAGTTTGCACAGCTTCAAAGAAGAGATAGATAAGTTTCACTACCACTGAGCAGCAGCCCACACCAAACCTGCTGTAAAATGCAGAAATAACTCTAAAGCCAGAGAGATGCATTTTGTCACTGCATGGTGAAACCTATGTTGCTGTACCGTGCGTTGAACCCCAGGGCATTAAAGGGCAAGAATAAGCACAGCTTGCCAGTTTTTTGGCGGTCTGACAGGAGGGTCTGGGTCGCGACTGATTTATTTTTGGACTGGTTCCCAACTGTTTCATCCGAGAGAGAGAAAAATACCTAGACTCCAAAAGGCCGCCCATCAAAGTGCTACTCGTCTTGGACAATGCGCCAGGCCACCCACAAAGTCTGCAATTTGCCCGCCCTGATGTGGAAGTGGTTTTCCTATCACCGAACACAACTTCCCTCGTCCAGCCTCTCAACCAGGTGTGATTGCTACTTTCAAAGCTTATTACACCAGGCACACCTTCGGTCAAATTCATAACGCGTTGGAAGGTGATCCAACACTTGATGTTAGGAAGTGCTGGAAGTACTACAACATCACTAACTGCATCACTAACATAAAGGAGTCGATCGATGAAATAAAGCCATCAACCATCAATGCCTGTTGGAGGGGGTTGTGGAAGAAGCAGTCAGTGATTTCACTGGTCTCCCATCTGTCAGTGAGGAGATCAAAAGGATTGTGAGAACATCCCATGACTTTGGAGGGGAGGGTTTTGAGGATATGGAGGAATCGGAGGTTGGAGAACTGAGTGAGTCGCCTCACCAAGGAACTGACTGATGAGGACCTAGCAGAACTCATGACAAACAGTGAAGATGATGAAAATGAAAAGACAGAAAGACCTAATTTCAATTTAGAAACACTGGCCGAGCTCTTCAGATACAGCAAACTCACTGACAAAAAGTTTGAATACGATCCCTCTATGGAGCAGAGCCTGAAGGGTAAGAGGGAAATTGAAGCAGCAATGATGCCCTAACGAGAAATTTATAAGGACCTACAGAAAAAGGCTGAACAGCTTCCCATCACAATGTTCCTTTGCACACCCTCCCCTGTCAACCCCACCAAGTCCTTTGGCCGCCACCTCTGCCAATTACGAGACAGAGACCGAGGGAGCGAGTTCAAGAAATATTAGGGAGATTAGTGATCAGCTGATTAGCAATCAGCTCAGGGTTTTATTACTTTCGAGTTCGAACAGAGTTGGAATAAAACACTAGTTAGCACAATTACTGTCTCCAGCCTATTTATCCTAGCCTATTATCAGTACAGTGCAGTATTCACGGATTTCGCCATTCGCGGGAATCTTGAGAACATATCCCCCATGAATGGCGAGGGTCTCCTATAGTTTTAAAGTTTCTCCAGCTGGGACCTAGGCTAAATCTGCCTGAATGCTGAAGCAAAAGAGCCAAGGCAGTCACCTCATCTGGGAAGATTAAAGAAACTTGGGCGTTATAATGTACGGTCAGCTGAACCTAAGGGCATGCCACACGTTCAATTTAAGGGTCCATACAAACCAACCACAAAGATGCACTATATTATATACAGAACATATTTGTGGTTGTTTTGCCATTTTATGGTATCATTAATTGGCTGAATGTGTGCCATTTATGGTGCAATTAACACATTTATATGCACTATAAATGTAACATCTGACAGGGGCCCTAATGCCATTCTCAGACATATCGACAGGGGAATGTTGAGTAGGAGTAGAGAAGTTATATTATTCCTGTATTTAGCATTGCGAAAAGTTCTGGTGTCCGTACTTCAAGAAGGATGCTGTTCAGTTGGAAAGGATTCAAAGAATAGCCGTATAAACAATGACAAGATGGGATAGCATGCCTTAGAGCTAGAACTCCAGGATTTCAAATTATCTTGATTATCAAAAAGAAAGTATCAAGTGTTTGCTCGCCTACAGTAATCACCTACGTGGGGAACAGAAATCTGATAATAAAGGTCTTCAATCTGGCAGATAAAATTATAACAAGATCTGATGGTTAGAAACTGAAGCTTGACAAATCCAAATTAGAAGGAAGGCACCGGTTTTTTAAGAGTTTGGATAATTAATTACTGGAACATCTTACTAAAGCTTGTGGCTGATTTTTCAGCAGTAGAAGTGTTTAAATCAAGACTGGGCGTCTCTCTAACAGAAATGACCTAATTCCACTGAAACTCCTGGACCTGAAGCAGGCATTAATGCAGGGAAGCCCTACGGTCTGGGTAATGCTAGCGGTCAGAAAATGATCACAACAATCCTTTCTGCCTTAATAACCTACGATTACCTCTGTCACCCTCGTACTGAGGGGCTGCCACCACTGCGGTCAACAGCCACAGGCGGTCTCCCCATCACAGATCCAGTCCATGTTCTGCCAACGCCCCGCAACCCCTACCAGGCAGCAGGGGCACCTCTCTCACCTCCATAAAACCCATCGCGTACACTATATGCGCGCTGCTCTCCAGATGGAAGTTCTCCTACCGCACAGGCTCCGCATCAGCCGTGAACTCCCAAGCCGAGGAGCAGCTCACAAGCACTGGTGAACCGGACAGGTTCAAACCCAAGCCGGCTACTCCTCCCTGGGAAGGCCGCGGGGCTTTGATCTCAGCACAGATGAACTCAAACAACAAGCAATTGCTACTCATTTAAAAAAAAAAAAAGGACCCATAGGGCATGGACACAAAAGCACGCACCTCATTTTTCTTTGAAGGTTTCGGTGGCGGGTGGTCTCCAGTACTACGATTCCTGCCAAGGTGGCCCCTGGAGGGGATGAGTTTTGGCAGCTCTGCTTCAAGTAACAATGTACAGCATCAGCCCCTTCAGTCACCCACCGAGACATCTCAAAGCGTAGGTGGAGCACGACAATTTTCACGTCTAGTATCAATGCTGACGGCTTTCCACGTGGGAGCCCGGGGGCAGGCAGGAATCTAATAACTCCCAGCAGAGTGGGGTGAGGAGGAGAGGAACAGTCAGGGCTTCAGAGACAGCGGAGGAGGGAGCAGTTTATTAGCCAAGCGATTTGTTATTCGTCTCCATGTGACAGCGGCCAGAACCCTGCAGAGGCTCTGCAGTGGGACCGCGCGGCCGGGGGATTTTTAGCAGCAGATTTCTCTGCTGCTGTGCAGCCAGCGGCTGCCGATCAGGCTCCTTGCGACAGCTTTAGTCGCGTAACGTGAAACGCAGCGACTCGGGGCTGGCTCCTGCACCACTTAAGTCACTGGAAGTTTTCCTGTCAGCTTGAAGGGCTTGGCTTTGGTTTTGGAAAAAAAAAAAGAGAAGAAATTCTTCTGCCCACGAGAGGCCATTGTCCAGGGGGCTAAAGCCCTGCTGTGTTAGAAATCTGTCCTGTTTGGCCACAGCCTTTTTGTGACTTGTTCAGACAGAACAGAGGTGGGGAAACAAGGTGAACAATGGACACTAATAGCACCAATTGTCCAGTGTCATTGTTTTATGGTGTTGTACATAACAGCTGCACGCATTCAGCCTAGCAAGGGGTCCCAGCCGTCTCCCAGCAGATCTCGTGTGTGCTGAAGTAGCTCTCACAGATGCAAGCACAACAGGGACCCGCTGTCCTAGACACAGCATTAACATATAGCATATGCCCTGAATGATTCACAGCTTTACCTTAGACAACAGGCAACAAGCAAACAAATGTGCCAAACACAGAGGGAAGAAGGTAAGAGCACGATTGCATCTGCCAGCTCTGACAATACCATGACAATGCTCCAAGTCGCTAATGCTTTTACTGTCTTTCTAACACAAGAGAGACTTAGCGGTGCCAAGGGCCCCTCTGTTAGGCCGTCTGCAACTGGCAGTGCCCCGGGGCACCACAGCAGAGGTGGATTCTGCATTTGTGCTGAGGGTTGGACTAGATGACCCATGAGGCCCCTTCCAATGGCAGGTTCCTATAGCCGTACACGGGATGTCAAGGAGCAGAGGGCAGTGGTCTAACCAGCCCAACGGAGGAACTCATCATCACTGGGGACACTCAGGGCATGGACACACATAACACTTGGAGCAGTTTAAACCTGAAGCAGACAGACATATAATCCTGTTAACTGGTTTAATTTACCTGGAATGTTTCAGAAGTGTCATTGGAAAAATCAAGTACTGTTTGAACTGGTTCCCCATGAACTAGTTGTTACAGGTGGATACCAACTATTCGAAGACACAGGTCTGCTTGGTCCTCCAGGCATCCCACACTGCATCACTCCTCACCTCCACCCTCCCACTGCTGCAATTGGCCAAGTGGGCATGCAGCCAGGATGCTAACACCACTCTTTTTCCTTTTGTTGGCATTTTTTAGCAAAGAGCTCTATTGCACTACTTGTTCAGTAAAAGCTTTCGAAGAACCAGCCATGTTCGCACTCCCTCCCTGACTGTGTCCCCTTATCACGTTCCCCCTCCCCCAGCCCCTGGGAGCCCAAAAGCATGGGTCCAAGCACTGCCCCCACTCAAGTCAAGCACACACTACAGACTTCGGTCATTTGAGGCTCCTGGAGATTACTGAACTCATGTTTAGGAGAGAAGGGAAAGCAGAAAAGTGACAGGTCACCCCCTCCACCCCAGACCTCCAAAGCATGGGGTCAAACACTCCTCCCTCACATTTATCCACTGTTATCCCCTAGTGTCGGAAACACAGCACTTGACACCCAATTGCAAACCATTCCCAAACAGTGACACCTGGGACGGGCTCAACAGTTATGGCTCAAGGCTACACAGCGAAGCAGGGACAGTGCAGGGCTGGGCTCAGGACGTCCTGGCTCTCAGCCCACTAAACCGGGTCTCTCTCTCTCTCCCTTTTCAGGATAGACCCAAACGCTTGCTCCTAACAGTCTGCAAGCCAGATTTCCGCCAAAAGGTTTCAGAAGGAGCTTTCCAAAGTATCATCGAGCTGTTTCTGGATGACATTTTCAAAGGAGTGTTTTTACACGGGTCTAGTGAGGGCATTCTGCAGACTATCTGTGTTGTGAATCGGTTCTTTTTTCAGCTCTGCTATTCTATAGCTTCCCAAATGCCACGGGCTAATGCTGCTGTGCAGAGGAGCATTATTAAGGTCTGGCAAGCAGCATACACTAGCTATAACAATCCAAATGAAATGCCTCATTCAATGTCCTTGCGTAATTTCCCCTTATGCAGAGTCACCAAACACTGCTCCCCTACCTCTCCTTACAGCAAAGCTAACACAGGCTGGCCGTGTCTACACGAGATGCTGACCACGCAGTCGTTACTATGCAGTCATTTAGTACTTGTACAAATGACTGCGCATAACTGGAGTTACTGCACATAAGCATCGCCGAATGGCTTTTAGGTGATGCTGGCTTATGTAGTAGTTTGTCACTACTACGCAGTAGCATTGCATCGCGCTTCCTGCCATGCAACACTACTGCGCAGTAGTAACAAGCCACTGGGCAGTCAGCGTCTCGTGTAGACGCGGCCACTGAATTGTATTCCACCCCGGTGGCCACGTTGTTTTGTCCAGACTGGTAGGAGCGGGTGGGAGAGGACGCTTTCAGAGAAAGAACTCCAGGCTTCCAAATGCATCCCCAGAGAGGAGACTGGGTTTCTTCCATGTATTATATTGAACCAGAAGTTTCAATGAATGACAAGTGTACATGAGTCTCTGGAGACGTGAAGCTTTGATACTAGAATAATGTTGGGGGTGGAAGAGCATAAAGTATGAGATTTTCAAGGCAACCCAAGGATGTTGAGACATTTTGCATTCCCTTTAATAAATATGCCTAAACTCTCTACACCGCTGTGAAAAAATCTCAGTACTGAAATTTGCATTTCATCTGGAAACAAAGTGAGGACACTTTTTCTTCCCCCTATTCCACCTCCCCCACACATTTTCCTGTCCATTTGCCTAGAATGAGCAGGCTCAGGAGCTTTCGTATTTAACTCAGCAAACAGTGGTTGCTAATTGACAAGTCTGTGTGTGGGTGGGGGAAGCGTGGGTTGCTTGCCTCCCCAGAGGCAACATTAAGTGCTGGATTATGTAAAAGCACTGCAACATTTTTTTCTCCAAGGCAACATCAGGTTTATGGGTGAAGCACCTCCTAAATGGTCCATGCATCTACACATGCACACGTGTGTGAGCAGATGGCCTAATATTGCCCGATTCATACAGCAATGATGGCTTTGGTGGAAGGCTTCTGTTAACACAACCAGAGTACTTGTCACTACCTGTAGCCACTGAGGAAGGTCTGGAAAGAAGGAGGGGCTAAAATGTAATAATTGGATGGAAAGTGGGGGAAGTGGGCTGTAGGAAACAGACCCGCAGGTACCCTAGAGAGCTGGGAGGAGATGGCTAAGAGGGGAATATGGTTGGCTGTGGATAGTGATCCAGAGTAGGGCTTGTGTTATAGTTTCTGTCTCTGACCAGAGGACCAGGAGTGCCTATAAGGAGGAGTTGGAGGCCATGGCAGTGGCAGGAGGTGGGGAGAGAATGTTATTTTGGGAAGATGCTCTATGCTTTGAGTCCTGCAAAGGATGGAGATGTGGAGGAACAGCCCTACAAAGGCCACGGGCTGGATGAGCTGAGATCAAGACAGGGTTGGGGGGGGGGTCCCAGTGGCTGAAACCAGAGCAATACCCATGAGGCATAGGTATGGCTATGGAAGAAGCTGGAGGTCACAATTAGAGCCTGTAAGGCACGATTAGGATCAGAAAGCCATGTTTAGGGCCAGAGGAACTAGGCAGTGGAGCCCCAAGAGACTGTGCCAGAGGGGTCGGAGCCTTGAGAGACCGTGAGGACAGGGAAGGCACCAAAGGAGTTACTCCAACCTCTACAGGTAGCCCCCCAAGTTCATCATTTTCACATCAAAAGCATGGCAGGAAAGAGATGGGAAGTTAAGGAGGCTGACAACAGGCAAAGCTGACTGCCAGGGGATTGGACCCGAGCCTTTTGCAACCTTGAAGGGTGTGTCTTCACTGCAGTTAGCCTGACAACGGTCATCTAGGGCTGAGCCCCCACATTAGCCTAGCCTGGGTGGTATGTCCGTATTGCAGAGCCGTGCCTGTGCCACTGCCTGTGCGAGCTCTCTCTCGGGACCTCTGAGAGGAATACAGCATGACTCTTGGCACTGCATTAACTCACTCTGCGAGTTCTTTCTGTGTCACAGTAGAAATCCTTCCTGCACCCCTAGGCAGAAGTGTTAGCTTGCCAACTCATTCAACTACCCCCTGTCCTATTCACTGTGACGGGGGACAAGGAGTGGAGCCTACCCAGAACAACAACGCTGTCAGCTGTTGATGTTAAGACAACCCACACTTTGGTAAGTGAAGGCAGACATGGGGCATGAGGCACAGTGGAGGGCGCTTTAGTGGCTTGTGGCACTAGGAAAGCAGTAGTGGGCCTGCTAAGGAGATTATATGGACTGCATGTACTCCTACAACTGTAGGGACAGATAATGCAGGTTTAGACCACTGTGGGACCCCTGGTGCTGATCAGCATAATTTCTAGAGTTGGAAGGGACCTGAACAGATCGTCAAGTTGATGATGGGCAGGAATGAGTGCTGGCATCATAATACCCCAGCCAGATATCATAGATTCATAGATTTTAGGGTCGGAAGGGACCTCAATATATCATCGAGTCCGACCCCCTGCATAGGCAGGGAAGAGTGCTGGGTCTAGATGACCCCAGCTAGACGCATATCCAACCTCCTCTTGAAGACCCCCAGGGTAGGGGAGAGCACCACCTCCCTTGGGAGCCCATTCCAGACCTTGGCCACTCGAACTGTGAAGAAGTTCTTCCTAATGTCCAGTCTAAATCTGCTCTCTGCTAGCTTGTAGCCATTATTTCTTGTAACCCCCGGGGGCGCCTTGGTGAATAAAACCTCACCAATTCCCTTCTGTGCCCCCATGATGAACTATCTATCCAACCTCCTCCTTGAAGACCCCCAAGGTAGGGAGGAGCACCACCTCACTTGGGAGCCCATTCCAGAGCCTGGCAGCCCTCACCATAAAGTAATGTCTCCTGATATCAAGCCTGAACCTGCTCTCAATCAATTTGTGGCTGTTATTCCTTGTTATCCCAGGTGGTGCCTGGGGGAACAGAGCCTCAACTATTTTCCATTATCCCCCCTGGTGAGTTTTATAGATGGCCACCAGATCCCCTCTCAGCCTTCTCTTGTGGACACTGAATAGATTCAGGCCCTTTAGTCTATCTTCATAGGACCTGCCCCGCTGCCCCCTGACCATACAAGTAGCCCTCCTCTGGACCCTCTCAAGGTAAGCCACATTCCTCCTGAAGTGCAGCACCCAGAACTGGATGCATTACTTCAACTTCAGCCTGACCAATGCCGCATAGAGGGGAAGGATCACCTCCCTGGACCATCTGTGGACGCATGACAAGGTACGGCTGGCCTTAGTGACCGCTTTCCATGCACTGGCAGCTCATGTCCATCCTGGAGACAACAATGACTCCAAGATCCCTTTCTGCCACCCTGTTGTTGAGAAGGGTATTCCCCAGCCTATAGGTGTGTTGCTGGTTCCTTCCTCCAGATGCAGCACCTTGCACTTGTCTGCGTTGAACTCCATTCTATTCTCATCCGCCCACCTCTGCAACCTGTCTAGATCCAGTTGGATTCTGTCCCTCCCCTCCTCTAGTCCACGCCCTTGCGCAGACCTGGAGGGACCAACAATGGCTTTACGACTCCCACAAGAGGAAAGTTCCCTTCACGGAGCTGTGGGAAATGATTGGCAAGGCACTTCTGTACCAAGGCATCCACAAGACGGAGTCCACACCAGCAGGTTGCTATTGCCATCTGGAAGTGGGCTACCCCAGACTGTTATAGTTTGGTGGCTAATCTGTTTATGTTGGTAAGTCAATGCTTAATGCAGAGCTTTCCAAACTGTGTGCCGCGACACATTAGTGTGTCGGCGGCAGTGTGTAGGTGTGTCGCGCGAAAGGCAGAAAATTTTGCGGAAGGGCACCGCGGAGCTCCCTTACTCGTGTCTGCTTCCCTTGGCCCCTCCCCCGGAACTGAATTACTGTGTCGCGAAATGATGCATGTCTAAAAAGTGTGTCACCAACATGAAAAGTTTGGAAAGCTCTGGCTTAGTGCCACGGTGCTGAAGGTTCGCAAGGAGGTTGTTATTGTCCTTTACTGCCAGTAGCAAATATTGCTGATGTCCTTGAAACAACAGCAAGCTTGATGGGACTGGGCTTTCTGAACTGTTTCAGCTATCAGCAATGCATTTCATAGTATGCCCATCTTTCTCAAAAGGGTACATGCATGCCTCAGCTGAGCTGCATGCCTTGCCTGAGGGTGGAGGGAGGTTCAAGAAAACCCATGTGGAACATGAATTGGGTGCATGATGCCACGGTATTCCAGACACGAGGCACTTTCACTTAATTCCCAACCAATAACACGAATAATCGATGGGGCACTCTATGGTGACAGACCAAATTCATGGCTATACCTCTTGCCCTGTCCACTGGCCTAGGTTTAAGATTAAATAAGAGACGTGTGTGTGTAGATACTAGCTGGGACAGGAGCAATCCCTGGATAAGAGTCCAGGCCAATTCTTCTGTAAGCTCATACTAAGGCAGGCATGCTTTGCTTCTTTATTAAGTGTAAATCATATCTTTTTAAAATATAAATTGGCTTATTTGAAAAACATTTCTACTACTAAATAAAAATACAGCTACCTATATTAATGTCCACATTTTTAAAAGTCAAGCAAGCATTTAAATTAAATAAAAACAGGATACGGACAACACGTTTGCTGCTCAGATTTTAAATCCACTCAACCAAACTACTGAACTAATAGAAATCATTAGCTAAGCACCAGTGACAAGAATTTGATAAAAAACAGCTGCTGAAAGCCACAGCCTCCTCTGCAGGTACAGAAATAATATCTTCCTTTATTTCAATATATTCAACTAGTTTGATGTAATGACTGATTCATTCAAAGCTGAGATGCAAAATGGGAACAAAAAAAGCAGGAAAGCTCGTCTTCCTCTGACAATCTATGAACGAACAAAAGGTATAGGTAAGAAAGTGAGCTCTCCTAGTTCAAACATCTTGAAGCAGTGACCCAGCCCCCCTTTAATTCTTTAACTATTAATAATCATTTTGTATTAAAACACTTTGATAAATTATTTTTCTAATGCATCTAATGTAACAGCTTTAACTAAAAATAAAAAATGATGTTTTGTTTAAATGTTTTCCAACTACTCAGTTGGTCTAATAAAAGATACCACATCTACCCAAAGAACCTTGCCTGCCTATGTCCTTAGACTAACATGGCTACAACCAAAAACCCAGCAAAATGATGTTTTGTACATTTTAGTGAATTTCTAACTTCAATCCAAATGCACTTTGTGATTTCTATCAATCAAAACTTGAACCACCCTCCCAAAAAAACCCAAATGATCATCTAGTAAATAACTGGCTCTTTCTTAATTGCTTAAATAAAAAGTGTACAGATATAGGATATCCTACCAGTTAACAAAGAAGTTCCAAGTTGTCTTGTGGGCCTATATCCATTTGTATAGATCAATATACTTTAATGCTTACCAACCAGTGAAAATCAGCTTTAAAGATAAAATAACTATAAAAAAAAAATACAAAAGCAAAACAAAATTAGAATTGAGAACTTAAATTAACATTTCCTGCCCTTGACTTAAATCATGATTTTAAAACTGGTGATTTAAAATCACTTTAATTCCACCTGAGGCAATTTAAGGCAGAAGTGGCCACCCCATGACACGGTCAGATTGGGGAGGGGACGGGCATCCAGGCAGCAGTCGTGCAAGAGGCAGAAAGCAGAGCAGAAGATTGGGCAAGAGAAGAGACTGGAGCAGAGCTGGGGGAGGATGCAGGGCTAACTTGCAGCATACTTGCCAAAAAGGTTGGTTTAAAACATGGAATCATACGCAGCTCACGTTGGTCCCAGCCTGAAGTCGTCACCTTTGGTGGCAACAAGAACGGACAGCGGCAGTTTCTGTTTAGCGCTTAGCAGATAGGGATTTAAAGCACACGCACTAATCCCACCCCTCAAGAAGCGTGACTTTTGCAGGACGGTCCCTGCAGGGCACGGTTAGTGCAGACACTGATAAAGCCCTGATTTCTTTCTCTTATTTCTTTAAATAGCACTTCCGATGCTGGATTGAGGAGTGCATCACGTACCCGTCCAGAAAAATGACTGACTTGATTGAGATTTGAAGTCCATCCTGATAAAAATCGTAATCTGAAAGAGGGGCGTATCACACCAGAGAGGCAAGCTGTTCATTTTTACGTCGTGGCCTGCGGTGAGGCTGCGGTCCCAGCTCGCTAACGCGGAGGAGCGTTTCTCCCTGGGACGCGTTCGATGTACAGGCAGTCCCTGACTTACAACATTTTGCACTTACGACCACGTTTATAAACCATGTTTCAACTTCCTGACGTCAGTTTCGACTTCACAACACTCCATCGGATGCCGCACCACGCCCGCGAACGAGCTCGCCGCCTCGCTCCTCGCTCCTCTGTCCGAACGTCCTCCGACGCTTTCTTTCAGAAAGCCGACGAGACCCCGAAAAACCTCCAGCCAGGAGCCCGTCGCAAAGTCCAGCACAGTCACCTCAAAGAAGTCTTTCCGAATCGCTCGGATTGCTATTTACGATATCGATACACGCGTGTAGCTATATGACATATCCGTAGTGGATCGAGTGCAAAATGCTGGGGTATTTTTAGTGAAAACAGGGTCTTGGGCCTGGGTTCAGGAACCAATCCCCCATTTACAACATTGTTTTCTATGGGGAAAAGCGGCTCCGAGTTGCAACGTTTCGATGCAAAACTTGTTTTTCGGGTCTGCCTCCTCTCCGGGGAGAGTGTCTACCGGGCGGCCGCAGAGTGCGCTTGGCCCGTTTTGAAGACGAGCACGCACACGGGGGGGGGGG